GTTTTATGTGCTGCAGAACATGAACCTGCTGTAAAACAGCAATTATGCTGAGTCAGGCTTGATTTTTAATAATCTTTTCCTGTTAAATAAATCAATCAATCAAATCAAATCTGTAATGCTTGGGTAAAACTGACCTCATTTAGTTTGTGAAACTCCACAGAGCTGCAGGAAGCCTTTAAAGAGTTCGACTACGACCAGGACGGCTACCTGAACTACAAAGACGTGGCTGAATGCATGAGAACGATGGGATACATGCCCACCGAGATGGAGCTGCTGGAGATCGTTCAGCAGATCAAGATGAGAAGTGAGTCTGATGTCAAATCTGACATCTTTCACTCTGAGCGTCCACTGTTTTATACAACAAAAGAAGTAATATCTTACTTTTTAGAGTATTTTCATAGACAAGGTGTTAAATTTTAAAGTGCCTGTGACATGCCTATCCTTCAAATACAAAAAGTTAAAGAAAGCATATTTACACTTAGGAAAATTAGCATAATACACATAATTTTACCCATTTTGTCACATAACTGGCCTACTTTCTTTTAAATTTGGCTCAGCCAAAGTGAAACAGGAAGTGACATCAAGGGGAACTCATTAATAAATTACACTTGCTGGTCTTTGTTTATTAAAACAAAATTATTTAAACTCTTCTTCGTCTCTCTTTGATAGGGACTAAAAGTAATCTAAAGAAATATCAGATTCTTCTCTAGTCTGTTGTTAGCTTTTGTAATAACGCTCTGTTTACATGCAGATATTCCCCTTTGACATCACTTCCTGTTTCTTCACATGCAAGTATCTCAACAACTGTTCATCTCAGTGACGTGAAATTTGTTTTGCAACGTTATCAATGTTATCTTTCCAAAAACGCATTCATGTTTATTACAAAAATTTGATGTCACAGGCATTTTAAAGTAAAGAAGTAAAAGTATAATATTTATGTTTTGAACACAACAAAATATAAGGTACTTAAAAAATTTACTTTCATGTCAAGTACTACAATGAAGTACTGTAAATGTACTTAGTTCCTATACACTTCCGAATATGTTTTTTGTTTAAAGCCTCATTCTTCCATCAAAGATTCCTGGTATATTTCCATCAAATAAAACACTTAATTCAGTTGAGGTTGTTTGAAACTGTGGGCGGAGCCTAACAAGGCAATTTTACCAGACCAATCAGAGAAGATGAGACTTTTTGGCGGGACATGGGAGTGGTCTACATGGAAGAGAGGAGTAGTGCCACAGTAGCCTGGCCCTTGCTTTCCTACGCAGTTCCGCTCAGTTCTAGTTTCCCTTCACTGCTCCGTCTGGGATTTCTCCCATAGACAAGGATTTCTACGGGAGAATTTTCATCTGAGCCAATCAGCGAACAGAAGGCGGAGTTTTGAACAATGTTGATTTTCTCTGCAGTGTCTGCTAATTAGTTTAGCATATGGCAGTGGAGGAAGTGAATGAAGCCAGTCTGTGTTGATAAGGCTTCCAAATTAAAATAAATTTGTCTGACAAAGCAGCAGTATCATCTACAATCAACTCGTACGGCTCGGTACTTTTCTCCTCTCAGTAGGGTTGTTTACAGCACATGCAATTTCCGGTTAGCTTCTTAGCTTAGCCTCCTTCACAGTGGAGCTGGCACACATACAGTTTGTCATGGCCAACCGATCCAATCATTTTAAACTTCAGCAGAGGCCACGCCTCCAGCAAGAATCGCTTCTCTATAGCCGAGAGTCCAGACCCTCGATCCAATCATTTTAAACTTCAGCAGAGGCCACGCCTCCAGCAAGAATCACTTCTCTATAGCCGCGAGTCCAGACCCTCATGCGAAGCAAAGTGAAGGACAGGGTCCGGTTTTTACCAGGCTAGGGCCACAGTAAAATTTTATGAAATGCTTTTTGTATTTATTTTTGCCCAGAATGTAGCTTTCTTTTTTCAGAATTCTAATAAATAAATAAACAAATAAATAAATAAATAAATAAATAAATACTTGTTTTCCTCTGTAGGTTCTTGTTTTTTTAGCCTATGAAATGAAACAAAATAAAAAAAATTAATTTAATTAAATGTAATTCAGCTAAATTAAATTAAATTTGATTTAATTTAATGTGTTGTATGTTTCACTGGACAATTAAAGAAACCTCTGAAATTTGTTAAAAAATATTACAAAGATCAGGACATTTTTCAAGATTAAAATTTTGAATATTTTTTGGATGAAATATGAGTGGGAATTTGATCAAACAAAAGTCCTTAAAACCTGCTTGAAACTGATCAAATTTGTAAAAGTTTACCTGCTTTTAATTTGGTCAAATTCCTGATCATTTATTTGTTTATTTATTTATTTTACTTTTCTTGTTTTTTCCTCATTAGTGGGCGGATTGATGGACTTTGATGATTTCATCGAGCTGATGGGACCCCGGATGATGGGAGAGACCACTAACATGCTGGGACTCAAAGAGCTCCAGTCAGCATTTTTACAGGTCAGACACTTCATATGGACTTGTAAAAATGATTTATTGATCTCCTAAAATTCCTCTTCTGTATTAAAGTTTGATTTGGACGGAGACGGAAAGATCAACCAGGAAGAGATGAAGGAGGCTCTGAAGACGTTGCTGGGGGAGAAGCTGAAGAAGGGGGAGTTGGAGGAGATCTTAAAGGAGCTGGACATTAACGCAGACGGCAACATCGACTTTGAAGGTGGGAGATTAGAGATTATTTACTCTGCAGGAGCTTCAGAATATAAGGCAGAACTCAACATTTTGTCCTCTTCCTTCTATTTTTCAGAGTTTGTGATGATGCTCTCTATTCACTGACCACTGGAAATAACTGAACGGACGAATTCAATACAATTTGGATCAAATGAACACATTTAAACATGTTTATGATAGTGATAAACTACCGAGCATTGTTTTATAATGAACTGTAAGAAAAAGCCTTCAAATGTTGAGTTTTTTGTGTTATTTTAGTAAAATAATGAGCTTTTTTGTTCTGGTGTTTTGTGTAAATAAAACAGAAATGCTTTGCTATTTTAATAAAGAAATTAAAAACCTGTTGAATCTGTCTTTTCACAATTAAAACAGAATAAAAATCAAAGAAATGACACATAAAATCAGCCTTTCAATCAGACTTTATTCCAAAAACATCATAAATCACTGCCAAATAATTTGTAAATAGTGTCTATTAGCATCCAGAGAATATAAGTTAAATATAAATAAAATGTTAACTAACAACAAAAAAGCAGCTTTGAGCCTCTAAACCCCCCCAAAATCACTTATATCAGTTCTACATTTAATAATGCTTGTAAATTCAATTATATAAAAAAATAACCCTACAAGCATAACACTACTGGTAAACTTCACACTATTCAGGAAAATGTGCACAAATAATCTGCAGTTAAAGTTGCATCAGTGTCAGAAAGAAACTGGAATCAAAGTATTTGTGGATTAATGCTGCCACTGACTCACAGCACAGGAGCAGAACGCTGGTTTAACACAGGGAAACAACATTTATGCTCTTCACAGCTACGACCCAACGTCACTGCTTTAAATAGATCTTTTTAATATTAGTTATTAATCCAAACTATTTATAGAGCATGCAGAACCAGAATAAGCTGCTAAAACACCTGGATTAAATAAATAAAAACATCTGCCTGATTAAAATAGTCAAAAAGTTTGTAACTCTTCAACAAATTCTATTAGATCTTGGTTGTATGTTGTGTTTCTTATTTTATCACATTTACAGGTTCAGCTGTTTTCTTTGTGATGAAGTCCACTACTTTTTTGTTGAGGAATGTTTGCACTGAATTTTGTAAACAATGTGAAAAATCAGACTTTGTAAACAAAGTCGTAAGCATCTTACCAGCATCACATTAGGCGTGGCTGAGGGGGTTCAGGCTTTCCTAAACTCTGAAACAAGATGCACATGCAGAACTTCAGGGTTAAAGCTGGTTCACGTGGTTTAAGGAAGCATCTTCTGACAGTTTTTACACAGCTGTGAGGATTTAGGTTTAATGTTCGTGGCACAAAAATCCCAACATACCATATTTTCTGCACTACAAGTCAGTTTTGTTCAGTTTGGCTGGTCCTGTGACATACTCTGATGAGACTTTGTTTTTCCCTCATCATGACGCAGTTTTTGACTGATTAGATCATAGTGACTAACATGCACCAAGGAGGAAACATACCACCTGCAGCTGTGAGAGGACACTCTAGGCTTGTGATAACTGCAGTTTATCTTGTTCCTGTAGCCTACAGGTTAAGAAAATGAGCAGCAGAAAAGAAAGTTTGGAATGAATGAGAAACTTGTGAGGGATTAGTGAAAAAGTCGCAGAAGAAAATGAAGACAACCAATCACGGAATGAGATTAGTGAATTTACTGACGACTTGCTTGTTGGAATATGTTGGGCCTGGCTGGTTGTGGCGGAGATCAAAATATTTAAAGCTCGCAAATTTAATGTAGTTTAATTTAGAAAAATAATGGATTACACCAAACTGAACGGAAAAGTACAGAAAACTGTATCGGATCAGTTTTTTTTCTAACGCTAATGACGAGAGAGCATAACGACAGAGGATGGTAAGCTAACGGTAGCTAATATTAGCTTGTTGTTAGTACTGTAACCTGTATTTTGGTATTTTGCTACAGTTGTTGTTTAGTGGACTATTTCACGGATACCGCCTAAAAAGTAGAATAATGAAAACACAATATTTATATCCACTGGGTCTAACAGATCTAATGCTAAATATGTTGATGTGGTTTACAGCGATCTGAGCCGTGCATCAAATTTCCAACTTCAGATAATTTTGAGCAGCGTAAATGTCCTGGACAAATTTGTTCTTTTTTTGATTAGAAGTTTATACCTCACAAACCAAAATAAATATTTTAAAATGCACAACAATCCAAACTTTAAACGTTGAGAACATGTCCCATCACTTATTTTTCTTTTGTTTGCCCACAAACCATTGCACGCTGCTTCTGATAGGTGGTGCTAAACGGTATCTGCGAAATAGTCCATTGCAAACAGTTCACGTAAAGTTACTCTAATTTTGTAGCTAATTGTGTTATTCCAGATTAAATGTCTGTTCTTCGACGAATACCCTGCATTTTTTGACTGATGTGACTTATAGTTCAGAAAATATGGTTGTCATGTTTTCATAAACAGCCTAAATGAGTCATTTCAGTTGTTTAAGCTCTTATCTTTATGTCACAGTTGAAACTCTCAGTTCTTCTGGTGACACCTCTAGCTGTTTTACCACTAGTAGCTCTCTACTTCCTGTCTTCAGTGATCAATCAGGACAGCAAGCTCCTTTTATCTACAGCTCGTTGCTCAGTTCGTCTCCGAACTCGGCCATGATGTCATGCATCCAGATGTCCCTTTCTTCCTGCGAGGTGTCCACCAGGAAGACCGTCAACTTCCTGTCCCACGGGTTCGTGGCTTCCTGCACGGCCTCCAGCTGGGCCACCAGAGGCTTCTTTTCCACGTGGTTTCTGAAAACGATGGAGGCCTCCTCTGACCACTGCCTCTGCTTCACTCCTGTGGGCGGAGGCAAAGAGGAGCAGGTCAGTCACAAAAAGTCAAAATCTGTGAAAATAAAGGGAATTAGAGGAATAAATAACTAGCCCCATTTCCAAACAATTGTAATGTGAATTTTGAGCAAACTTTTAAAATGTTGCAAATAAAAATGAATAAGGCGCGTTTCCATCTAAAGCAGAGGTGCCCAAAGTGTGGCCTGTGGGCCAAATTTGGCCTGCCAAACCATTTGATGTGGCCCACCACCAATTGTCCTGGTTACTAGATTGTAATCTGTCTTATGTAGAAACACTATGTTTCCACTTAGTCTTTTCAACAATTGGTCCAACTATACGTACAAGGAGCTGTAGTCAGATAGTCTTAACTCACAGTACTGACTTTCTTTGAATAGTTTTAAGATTAAATATAAAATACAAATAACTTCAAGAGACATTTATCTTAGATTTAAGTCCATATATAGATTTTCACACCTTATAAGACCACATATACTCAAAATTTAAAATTATGAAAAGACTCAGGAGCCTTTGCTGCCCGAGCATACGTTGAATTTTCTCCATGTTCACGGGCTGAAAAATAACCAAACAAACAAAATGTGGACAACCACAATGGCTGCTAGCTTAAATTAAAAAAATGCAACTTTACTTGAGAAGTATTTGCATTTCATGTATTATATTATTGCATTTGGCCCACCCCACTTAGACTGATTTTAATTTTGGCCCTCAGGGAAAATGGTTTTTAGCTTTGGCCCTCTCAAGGAAAATCTTTGGGCACCCCTGATCTAAAGGTTAGGAATAAATCAACCAGGCTACACAAAGTGTAATTACATCAGACATTGGCTTTAATAAACAGGAAGTAGAGGTTATAAACTAGCAGGGATACACTCAGGACAATGGAGAGAAGTTTTCAGGAATGTGTTGCTGTAGGGAAAGCTGTAATAGTTCTGTCATATCAACTAATATTGGTGATGTTACATGATGTCCAGAGACGAATAACAAATACAGTTTTTATGAAAATATCCGGGAAGACGCCGACAGCAGACACAGCTGATCTATCAGGTGAGGTAAACATTCGCTACGTCAGAAGTTATTCAGCAAATGTGTTTCCATCTCCCCTTTTGCATTTCAACTATTTTTTGGAGAATCCAAAAACCACCTCAAGCGAGCGTGAAAACTTTTTTCTGCAAAATTTATGATTTTTTTTACAGCGAATTTTCTCGTTTCCATCAACCTTTCCCTACTTTACTTCAAAATGGGCATAAAAAACATTGATTGAAACACAGCAGCACAGACAACAATAGAGAAGTTAAAAGGTTAAAACCTGGACTAAAACAACTAATATGAACCTGCTGAACTTGTCTGTAATGCTTAGTTATCAAATTTCACCAAGAGAACTCAGCTTTGTCTAAGAAAAACTCCCCTAAATTTTTCGAGCAACAATTCGTATTAATAATAATAAAAAACAAGAATATAAACAAGAACACATTTAACTTGAAAAGGAGTGGGAAGAAGACAAACGTATTTACTCCTACTCCATATTTATATATATAAATTATGTGGTTGCTACTGACATTTGAGATTTAGTATATTGTGTACACGTTTTCCTTTTTTTCATCATGATGCATTTTCTTGCTAATAACATTGATGTCACCCATAAGGTCATCACCAAATCAATAATGATTATTAATAACTGTACATAGCATTTTTTTCTGCTTTCATTTATAATAACATTGTAATTTAATAGTTACATTAAGGTATTGGTGCAAACTGTAATTATGAGTAATGTGAACCTTCTGTCAGGAGGAACAACCCCCTAACAACAGACCCAGCCCTTGTCGAGTATCCTAAACTTGCAGTAAAATACACAATTTTGGTAATACTAAAGAAAATAAAAAGACAGAAATAAAATTAAATAAATTAAAAGAAAATATTTGATGATAAATCTTTTAAAACCTGAGACGCTTCTATAAAACATGATCAAATAATAATCAGCCTCAGAAAAAAGGAATCCGTTTCTTTCCTGTCCAGTATGAAAACAAGCATATCCTCCTTTTTGTTTCCTTTAGTTAATTTAACTCAATTATATCTTTAATTAGTTTTCACTTTCACCATAAAATCATTGTAACCATAGCATAAATCTTGAATAAAGCCAACAGTTCTCTGTGAAGCTCTTAGGTCGACCCACCTGCCAGCTGAGCAGGGATTCCCTGGAACGGCAGCTGTCTGAACTCCTTGATCAGTGGTCTGAGGAGGCTGCAGCCCACCAGCTCATGTTTACCATAATCCAGCTCGTACACCGACACCAGCCCATTGGTTAGAACTCCCTTCACTAACACTCGATGCCAGCTGAAAAATATACAGAAGAATCGGTTAGGACATAGACTAACAAGGCTGTTTACTGATGATAAACTGGAGCCATCAACATCATTAATAACTTACAGTATAACAGGTAAAACAGATCAACACTCGACTCACTTGCTCTCAATTTTAGCAGCATAAATGAGATTCTTCTCTATGTTGAGTGGTTTTTCCTCAGTTTTATTGTAGTAGAGTATCATCTCTCCCATCAGGACCACCAGTTTGTACATATCTCTCCAGGGCTGCAGCACAAAGTGGCCTGGATGGCACGCCAAGGAAACAAACACATCCATGTTGTTTCCTGAAAATGCAAGAAAAAAAAGTGTTTTTTTTTTTTGTCTGAATGCTTTCAAAACACTATTGACAGTAGCAAAATTTAAAATATATTGTATATTTTCATCCTTACCTATTGGAGGTAACTCTAGCAGTTGTGGCAGAAACGATGGAGGTGATGAAGGTGATCCTGGTTGGCTTGTGGTGGTTTTGTTACCTCCTCCTCCTCCTACTTTGGATGCTGACAGAGTCCTCCTGAGATGAGTTTTCGATGTGACAACAGCTGACGTTGGACTGCTGCTGCTGGACTCACTGGAGCTGGAAGACTTGGAGGATAAAGGATTTGCAGAAACCTTGATTGGGCTGAAAAAAAGAAAAGAAAGGTAGACTCAAAATTTGAGGTTGCCCAATAACAGATTTTCACTTTCGGATTCTGAAGCTGAGTTTTAGAAATCAGTGCAGCCGACTGATGAAAATCATTTGTTGGGTTGTTTTTGGCCTAAAAATGCGAGAGTTTTTTTTTTAAGACATTTTAATAAACAGGATTTGGAGCAGCGATTCCCTGTGATTTAGCCTTAATTTGATATGAATCACTACACCTTCTTACTACAATTGTCAAACTCTTGCAGTTGCTTCACATGGTAAATAAACTACTGGACAGAATCCACCTGATTGGTTCACAGCAGTTTTAAATGCTATACATGCAGTTAAAAGCATACAAATACCCATATTTCCCCTCTACAAGTAGAACTCCTTAAAGTTCCTGTGACATGTATATCCTTCAAACACACAAAGTTGAAGAAAACATTTTTATATTTAAGAAACTTGGCATAATACACTTGATTTTACCCATTTTGTCACACAACTGGCATATTATCTTTTGAACTGGGCTCAGCCAAAGTGAAACAGGAAGTGACATCAAAGGGGAACCCGTCAAGAAAAGGAAGTCTCTGATCATTGTTCGTTAAAACAATAACTTTTGATCTCTGACTCTTAATCTCTCTGATGGTCACTCAAACTCTAAAAAAACAGATTCTTCTCTAAAATCTGTGTTATCAGACAATTTAGCAATGCTCTGTTCAGACATTCCTCTTTGACATCACTTCCTGTTATTTCACTTGTGAATATCTCAACAACCGTTCACCTCAGCGCCAAGAATTTTTTAAAGCAAAATGTTATCAATGTAAACATTCAAAAAATGCATTCATATTTATTACAAAAAAAGATGTCACGGGCACTTTAAGTAATTAAATAAGTAAATAAGACTCCGTTAATAAAGACTTAAAGGGGCAATATCATGTAAAATCAACTTTTTTGAGTTTTATATCATGTTTTAATATTATACTGTCATAAAAACATGCCCAAAGCCTTGCTTTTACACATTCATGCATGTTTGAGAAATCCTGCAGCGTTTTTAGGAAGCCATGCTGAGGAGCAAAACGACGGGGGGGGGACCAGAAATGCCCCTGGAACGTGTCTTTAAGCCGAACTTCCTCATGGCAGAGCGCAAGCCCCCACCTCCCCACAAACCCCGCCCA